GGGCGCTGCCCCCGCCGCACCGCGTCTGCAGGCCGCAACAGCCCGTTCGGGTGTAAGGCAGAGCTGGGGCACGGAGGGTGAAACACGCGTGGTGCCGCTGCTTACAGCCACAGGAGCTGGCTAAAAGCGTGCGGATGACATTTGATTTGGACTTGTAGATGATTTCACAGATATGTATGAATTGCCAGGGGCTGGATATCTTTCTTATAAAGGAAAACGTTCTAGGTGATAGAAAGATTCTTGCAGCCGTCACCCAGTGGCAACAAAGCAAGGACGTGTGGGGATATTATATAAAGAAATCTTTCAAAAATAAAAATGAGCAAAAGACTAGACAGAATATTAAAGATCTGTGTGAAGCACAGTAAGGGATGATGAATCTATTCACCCTTGGTGTTCAGAGAGAACATGTTGTCTTTAAGACCTTTCAGTATTCTCAAAGTCAGCCCAGGTCAACTAAGGTGAGTACAGTCTTGCAGGGGGCAGACCGTTTGATCATTTAAATTCTCACTCAAGAGCAGCAGAGGAAGATGTGGAAGGACACAACCCACAAGCAACAAGATATTAAGAGAATAAAACCTGTAGGACGGGTAGCTCTATATCTCACTATCATTATTCTGCTTTTAATTTGCAGCGTGAGTGCATATCTGTCCACGTGGGTCAGGCTGGTGTTCAAATTGGCAATGCATGTTGGGAATTGTATTGTCTTGAGCATGGGATCCAGCCTGATGGTCAAATGCCCAGCGATAAAACTACTGGAGGTGGAGATGATTCATTTAACACTTTCTTCAGTGAGACAGGAGCTGGTAAACATGTTCCCAGAGCAGTGTTTGTCGACCTGGAACCAACCGTAGTTGGTATGTACCCAGTGTTAAAGGTCTTCAGTGTCAAAGTAAAGATCCCCAACAATCTTTTTTGTTCATTTAGAACACTGCCTCCAGAGTTTGTGTAATTGCTGTCCGCAATCTTGTTTTTCTGCACCCGTAATGTGGTTTTCTGGGTGACCTCTGTGTTCCCCTATACCAGTACTGCTTTTTGAGGGCCTGATATTTTCCCCTAAACAAAGGAGCTGAAGTTGTGCCAACTCCTTGGGCCAGTCTGACAGCTGCTGAATAACCCAGGATGGTGTCTGCTCTCTGGGCACGCAGCTGGTGTGCAGGCACTGGGGAGTTCAAACTGATGCCGTAGTGTTTTGTTTCTTTGTAGATGAAGTACGTACAGGCACCTATCGGCAGTTATTCCATCCTGAGCAGCTCATTACTGGGAAAGAAGATGCAGCTAATAATTATGCCAGAGGCCACTACACCATTGGAAAGGAGATTGTTGATCTCGTGCTAGACCGCATTCGCAAACTGGTAAATCCTTGCTGCAAGGATACAGCTCCATAGCTGTATATAATGATTGGTTGCTGTGATTTTTCCCTAAGAATTTTGGGCAGATTTGATTGTTTAAAGCACAACAAAATGTTTTTACCCGTCTCCCAGTAAAATAAAAAATTAAAAAGTGAAATAAAAGTTCATTCATTAAAACTTAAAATTTTTAGGCTCTGAAATACCATTATTTGAAAGTATTGTAAGGATACCTCAGAAATTTATTATGAAAACCTTAAAGAAGTCTAACAAAATTGTTATTTTTTTTATTTATTATTTTCAGTTTGATTCATGCCGTTATGTGTCATGCATATATGTCTAGTACCCTGAACCTCAGGCTTTGGTTGAATGCTTAGCATTTTAAATTACTTCTCTAATTGTTTTTATCTAATGTTGCATTGTAAGGAACTTGTGTAGGATAATGAGATTCATAGTGAAATAGTGTTTGTCTATTCAAAATTACAAAAATTAAAATGAAATTTGTTTTCAACATTAATTGATAGTAACTGAAAGCTAGAATGGGAACATCAACAGATTCTAAAGCTGTAATTTATAGTAACTTGTCACAGTGGTGTACAGCTGCTCTTGCTTACTGTAGTATTAAAATGGCAAAGGCAATAAAGCATCTTCTAAATATTAAAATACTCCTATTCAGAAAAAGTTATGCAGAGGCACTAGTACTTCTGAGTAAGATGCACACAAAAAGGACGATTATCTTTCAAGGATAACCATCTAAGACTAATTAACTTAAAAAAGAAAAATGCTTTTGAATTACTATTACTGCTTTCTCTAAGGTCATCACTAACTTTTTTTCCTCCCGCTTTTTTCCCCACCCCATTATAGGCTGATCTGTGCACAGGGCTGCAAGGTTTTCTTATCTTCCATAGTTTTGGAGGAGGCACTGGTTCAGGGTTTGCCTCTCTGCTCATGGAAAGGCTCTCCGTTGACTATGGCAAAAAATCTAAACTGGAGTTTGCAATTTATCCAGCACCCCAGGTTTCCACTGCTGTCGTGGAACCTTACAACTCCATTCTAACTACCCACACAACACTGGAGCATTCAGATTGTGCCTTCATGGTAGATAATGAAGCCATTTACGATATATGTCGCCGTAACCTTGACATTGAACGTCCTACTTACACCAATTTAAACCGATTAATTGGGCAAATTGTTTCCTCCATCACCGCTTCACTGCGTTTTGATGGAGCCCTCAATGTAGATCTGACAGAATTTCAAACTAACCTTGTTCCATACCCACGAATCCATTTCCCCCTGGTGACATACGCCCCTGTCATCTCTGCTGAAAAGGCCTATCATGAGCAGTTATCTGTGGCTGAAATTACCAATGCCTGTTTTGAGCCGGCCAACCAGATGGTCAAGTGCGACCCTCGCCATGGCAAGTACATGGCCTGCTGCATGCTCTACAGAGGGGACGTTGTTCCCAAGGATGTCAATGCAGCTATTGCCACCATCAAGACTAAGCGTACCATTCAGTTTGTGGATTGGTGCCCCACTGGATTCAAGGTACTTAAACAGCTTTTCAAGTGTTTGATGTGTGAATTACTGGGAATTGTGTAGTGTTCAGAAGTAACAGGAATTCTACAATGTTATTGTGTCCCTGTCAGATAATTTGGTGAAGTTCAAAATTAAGTTAAGCTATTTGATTTGTTCATAACCATGGTGATTTTTAATTGTTATCAGCAATAAGTTTTTAAGCCTTGGCAGTCACAAGTAAAGTTGTCAATTGTTTTCTTGCAGGTGGGCATTAACTACCAGCCTCCAACCGTGGTGCCAGGCGGTGACCTTGCGAAGGTGCAGCGGGCAGTGTGCATGCTGAGCAACACCACTGCCATTGCTGAAGCCTGGGCTCGCCTGGACCACAAGTTTGATCTCATGTATGCTAAGCGTGCTTTTGTACACTGGTATGTTGGGGAAGGGATGGAGGAAGGAGAATTTTCCGAAGCCCGGGAAGATCTGGCTGCCCTTGAGAAAGATTATGAAGAAGTTGGCTTAGACTCAGTGGATGCAGAGGCTGAAGAAGGAGATGAATATTTAGAAAACTAAAGTCTGGGGAAATGTATTAAAGGAGAAAAAAAAAAAAGCAAACATAAAAATAATTGCAGAACCCTGTTTACTTGTTTGGCTGTTTTCAAATAAAGTTTTAAAGGTTCTACTGTGTCATTATTCTTTACTATTTATGTGTGTACTCAGTAAGGACCATTAGAGATTGCAGGTTCTTGTACCACCCAGTCATGGGCAAATTGTAGAAGAAATCAGGGAATTGCCTGCACTTTCCTGCAATCCCAACATGTTATCTGAGATATACTCACTTTTATTTTTTGGTTTCTCACAAGCAGGAAACTGCTTCTGCTCTGGGTTGGTTTAGTGCTAGTAACACTATTTTCCAAGTCTGCCCACAGAATTCAAAAGAACCTAATGTTCCCTAAAGCCAGTTCCCCAGTAGGGCTGGCTGTCTTCACAGAAGACTTGTTAAAATCACCAGTCTGTTAACTGAGTAATGCTGTACTCGAGTAATTTACCTGACTAGTTAGCAGATGCCATTACACTTTTAAACAGAACTGCCATTACCAGATTACTTGTTAGAGCCATAAACTTTATACTTTTTTTCTTTTTAAGTGTGTTATGAGATCATGCAGAGGAAAAAGTGAACTTGCAAGCAGCACACTCCCCAGCACTGGATTCAGACAAAAAGAAAATGGTGCAGATCCCTTACCTGCTTCAAAAGGGTGCTTCTCATTTTCCACATGCCTACATTGGCCTCATAAAATTTGTGCATCCTTTAACAGTCTGTTCAAGGGAGTATTGCCTGGCAACAGGTACATGGTAGGACACGCAGCTCAGGTAAAAACTGCTGCCTCACTATCTCAAATTTTTAGTCCCGGTTGCTGAAAAGAAGAAAAAACTTAAGGGCTTTATTTGTGGGGTTGTTTTTTTCCTTCCCTGTACCTATACAACCACGAGGGAGAAACGGGCCGATAGGTGCTAAAGACACCCGCAGTGAATTACTTTGGGAAACAGTTGTAACTCTTACCTGCAGAGCATGCTGTGTCTGCACGATTCGTGCAGCTCCAAAGCAAGAGTCGCTGGCTAAAATCAGCAAGGCCCTTGTTTTCGCGGCCGGCAGAGGGAACGACG